ACATGAAGGAGAGGGTGATAGAAAAGCTATTATTGTAAGGATAGTAATGATTGAATGGTTTTAATGAGCAACATGAATGCTTTGGTGTCTATGATGGTGGCGGTTTCAGTGGGCAGGGCATTCCAGTCTCGGGCTGTGCATAGGAAAAACAATTGGTGAAAGGTGTCAGTATGGGCTTGCTTTGGATAAACGGCGTTACAGTGACTATAGCGGTAAATGTGATGGGCTCTTCTGATGTGTGGGTTATATGAATTCAAGAAATGAGAGAATTTAAGATAAAGATTAAGACGTGCGATTTCGCGGCGTTTAGCCAGGTCGGATAAGATAATGTTTGCTTTTGGTGCCAAGATGTTTGAGCCGTATGAATAGTTAGATAGTATGAATCGGGCCACACGAATCTGGACAGACTCAAAGGCGTTATTGAGGTTGTTGTAGTGAGGATCAAAAATCGCATGCGCATACTCTAGCTTTGGTCGGACAAAAGTTTCAAGGGCAACTTTTTTTTAATAGAAGGGGAAGCGAGTGAAAGGTTACGGCGTAAGTACCGTAGAGTGCGATTCGCAGATTTTATGATGCGGTTAGTATGACATGTCCAACTTAGATTACGCGAGATGGTCACAAATATTTAAACGAATCAACTGTATAAATGTGGTTGTTATTGATAATGTAGTTATGAACACCATGAAGATGATGACGCTACGGCCCCACCGTGGTGGTCTAGTGGCTAAGGTACTAGGCTGCTGACCCGCAGGTCGCTGGATCAAATACCGGCTGTGGTGGCTTCATTTCCAAAGGAGGCGAAAATGCTGTACACCCATGCGCTCAGATTTTGGGGGCACGTTAAAGAGCCACAGGTGGTCGAAATTTCCGGAGCCCTCCACTACGACGTCTCTCATAATCATATAGGAGTTAGGGGGCGTTACACCCCACACATAAGGTGACGTCGGTGGATAGACAACAAACTTTTAGAAACATTCAAAGACATGAGCCAAGATTTAACCCAGTTCTGTATGCGGGTGAGGTCACATTGTAATATGGGATGATCGGAAGGGTTAGTAATAGCGCGGTAGACAACACAGTCATCGGCGAAAATATGGATGTGAAAAGAAATCTTTGAAGGGCGGTCATTAATGTATATTAAGAAGAGGAGCGGACCAAGTATGGTACCTTGCGGTACACCTGAAAGAACGGGTGTTAAAAATGAAGAGTATGAGTTGGCATGAACGAATAGACGATGGTTAGTTAAAAAGCTTCGAATCCAGTTTACCACTAGTTTCAATAAATAATCCAGTTTCAATAAAACATAGCCATGTGGAACCTTGTCGAATGCCTTTTCGAAATCTGAGAATATTGTTTCAGTCGGAATTTCGCGGTGTATGTTTATGAGTAACTCATGAAGAGAGCAAATTGATCGTCACATGAGTAGTTTTTGCGAAAACCATGCTGACTTGGGTGTAAAAAATTTACGTAACTTAAAACGTAAGCAGTAGGAAAGTATATCATATGCTCCATTATTTTGCAAGTGACAATTGTTACAGATATGAGACGGTAGTTAAATCGCAATGCTCTGTTTCCTTTCTTGAAGATGGTATGACCAGTCAAGGGGAACTGACCCGCTGTCGAGTGATTCCTGAAATATGAGTGATAAAAACAAACTACACATTTGTTTAGTATTTTCAAGCACTTTAGCGTTGATACCGTTTACTGATGTGGATGGCCAGTTACTCAATGTGTCAATAACTTTGATCATGCCGTGTGAATCAAGTGTGATGTTTTGCATTAGTGGGTACGTGGAAAGTGGAAGATCGGGCAAACTGTCGGGTGGCTCATTCGTAAAACAGTGATATATACCGTGTTAAGGCAATCGGCAACTTCATTCTCAGGAATAGGAAGTCCTGACTATTAATAAGTGAAATACCATTAGAACGAGAGAGGCTAATTGTCTTCCAAAATCGCTTGGGGTTAGTTTGCAACATGGCTGGTAGGGTGTTAAAAAAAAGTCGCGCTTAGTTTTGATGGTTAGCTTATATTAGTTTTTCTCCACTGCGTAATACTTCTGCCACACAGAAGCACAGTTGAAACGTCTGGTGGCTTGAAATTGACGCTTTTTCTTATTATATAACCGTTTGGGGGATACAGTTACCATGGAAAATCTTTTTTTCTGTTATTGCAATGATCGGGATAAAAAGACGTTTAAGACGATGCAACTGTGTTTGAAAAGCAACCAATTCGACTCGAAGGAATTTATTTGGACGTTTGCGGCAAAAGTATCAAGATATTACGTTAATTCTCGGTGTATGCTATTAGTGTCTCCTTTATCGTAAAGGGTAATTATTTTTTGATATTTTGTTTACTTTCTACGTTACAATAATATAAGGTTGGCACTGTCAGGTGATTGCTCAAGCCGTCCAGTAGGGTGATAGGTGCAAACTTATCAGAATAAGTTGTTAACACAAGATCCAAGACTTTAGAAGAGTGATCAGTGATGCACGTGGGATCAGTGACGAGCTGCGCCAAGCCAAATGTCATGCACGTTTTTACGAATTCACTTGCTGGGCTGCTGTTAGATAATGAAGAGGCGGGATCAGACCAGTCAATGGTGGGAAAATCAAACTCTCCGAAAAAAAGGACAGGACTGTTATAGATTACTTGTATCAATGTATTTAAACCTTCATAAAGTGAAGGCGTGATTTAACTGTTGGAACTAGCGGGCCGATAGCAAATACCAATGAGGATGTGGGTGTGTGTGGCAGTGCAACGTAGTCAAATCATTTCTGGTGGTGAAGGAAGGTTAACAAATGAACAATGCAGCCAGTTGCAATTAATACACCGCCAGACGCGAATTATCGGTTCTATTTTTTCGGGATGTGTCAAATTGTAAAAGGGGAGAATCTCAAAATTATCAATGAATGCATTGAGCCATGTTTTTGTTGACAGTAAGACATCACATGAAGCTGAGCTTCTAAACTGAAAAGTGTATCGCGTTTGGATATCGTACTACGAGCGTTAGCCAGTAAAAATGAGAGGTGCTGATTTCGTGAAGAAAGTGTATTACCAGTTCTGGATGATCGTTATTGGCGTTCTTCAATGACGCGATTCGAAATATAGTCGCAGTAGTAGATTTTTTTTTCATTAGCGATTAGATTTCCATGACGTAACCTGCATCGAAAGTTTTGGGTCCTTCCATACTCCGTGAGGCATTTATGGGCAAGGCGCGCTGGGGGAGAGGTATTGCGCCAGCGCATAGCCTGTACTTTTGAATTTCGGCGCCATAGTTAAGATGCCTTCTTTATCTTTATAGTGAGCAAACTTCATGATTATAGCCCTACATTTCACAGTTTGGTAAGATCCATAGCGGTGTGCACGCTTGATTTCCCGTGGTTATACCTGTATGTTAATACTTGTTTACAATGTTTGATGACAATTTTTTTTGGAATCAAAACACGTTTCCTTCGGCGTATCAACTATATGCCATAGAAAACACAGTTATTTCTTCTAAATCTATTCTCAGCATCATTTATCCGGATAGGCAGTGTATTCATCTGCGTCGCATTTTCGGTACATGTCTCATTCACTTTTCCTGATTCAGTCTGCATCTCGTCGATACTAGAACAGGCTTTCTCGATCTTGTTGAGTCGGACTTTAATTTCACTGAAAGTTTTATTATGATCAGTAAATTTCCTTTAAATTGAACTTAGTTACACTAATATCGCCGTCTGCTCAGATTGCAGTTCATTAAAGACTTTCAGAATTTCTTTATCGGGGCCAGGATTAGATTCAACATCCCCCGATAGTAAAACAAGGCATAGTAACATATGAGAACAGTAATTCCCGATGGAACAAAAACGCCGTGGGTACGGCAGCACCAAGATTGCTCGATGACTAGTTGGTTTTGCGTAAAGACATTAGGAGTTCAATACCTGCACCAAGAAGAAGCGAGGAACGTTAGCACGCGTCATCGCTAGCGTGCTACCAGGCCCACTGAAAGGCGCGGTGCTCTGAGCTTGCTTTTTAACCGAATCCCACGCATGCGTGGAATGTAGAGGGGTGGTTCCGGTGCTCAAGTGGGCGATTAAAAGCCATAATGCTTGATGATATGGCCGATAGGGCACGAAGTGCGCAGATCGAGATGTTCAGAGGAGAAGTTGTTTTCAAGGCCAGGATAATTGGCCAGGATAATGGTTAGCAGAGTCGTCGTGTCCGGCCATGGCGGTACTTCAGATGCCAGTAGCGGAATACTCCAGAACTCGAGAAACTGCTCTAAGAAGAGACGAGGAACGTTAGCACGGGTCCAGGCTAGCGTGCTGCCAGGCCGATAATAGCGAAATTCTGAGTTTAATGAATCCACTAAGCCTCCGATTTTCAAATATTAAATCTACCATGGTGGCTTGTGCACTGTGCATTCAAAGACGACCTACTTAATATGCTCTTCAAGCCTATTTAAAGCAAAAACTGTTTTCACCTAAGGACTTTACACAACTATACAGCCATAGTTTTAAGTGTTCTTGTTTAATAGAAACAGGATTCAACTAAGACAATAAAAGTGGATTAGGCTTCTTGAGGACACACAGAACACTGAGACACTTGTCAATAGATTGTGTGCTGCGATGAATTTTCTGCAAGATTTCTGCGATGCCTAATTTCCCGCGCGCCATGAATGGCTTCATTCTTCATTGCAGCAATGTGAAATGTCATTATAGACGTCGCCACTACGTAAACTTTCCAAGGTAGTGCTCTCTAATTTCATATATTCCATTTTTCAATCTCAAAAATAATCTACAACAGAAAACATAAGAAAGAATGTTCTATTCAACCTATCCTTGTTTCGGAGACGTTTCACGTGTCTACGTTTACCTGCCCGAACGTTTTTCCCGATGTGTGCACATTGTGGCGGGGTGGTGGTGTGTCACTTATGTATAGCATCGACTGTATGTATAGCATCAAGTCACATTGTAATTTGATGACGGGTGCTTCTCTAGAAACTCAATTTTTCATTGCAGTTCGACTTTGCAACCAACCAGTACCCTCAGGGAAAAGCCGTGTTTGCCGTCGATTCCATACACTATAGCGGATGTACTCTGCCAAGTGAGTTGAAACCAACCGCGAATGCAAGAGGAACATTCACTACCTGTTTATTTTTATTACTATGCCCTTAAGGCCCAGTGGGTAGTACAAAAAAAGGGGGGGGGGGATTCACTATCAACACGACAAAAATGATTCCAATGACAGTTAAAGAACCATAAAAACAACAATAGTTATAAAAAGCAGAAAACAAAGGTGTTAAGATGCAAACTGCGGACGTGAACAGCGCTTGGTCATTAGAGGCAGCTGTGGAGTGGTGCAGCAGAAAGGAATGGCATATTTATTGGCGTGGTAAAGATCGGTTGAGAAGTTGGTAAGTTTTGATATTCATTGCTTTCTAACCAGGTGCGTATAGAACAAAATTTTATAAAAGAGTGTCAGACAAAACATAGTTCTTCTGGTGGCCAGACCTGTCAGTTGAATAGCGAATTTCATTAAAGTCAAGCTGGTAGTACGTACACGGTTGTTATAAATGAAATGAGCTGAGCAGTTTTGAACAGCTTCTAAGCTTCAAGTAACGCTGATTGAGTTCGTTTTCTTATGGCAGGCGCCTAAACGAGTTTTGGTCGCAATTCCTTAGCACAAATCACACACGTATTTGAGACTTCTTTCGTGATGCTGCTATTTACTGCGTTTTCTTCTTTAACTCGCGCTCGTAATTTGAACCATGGACGCTACTAAATTGTCTTGTACGCAACGAAAATGACGTAATGAGAGGGACGGTTAATATAGCACACTTAACCATTTTGTACAAGCTGTGTTTAGAAAATTTGTTGAACGATTTTGAGTACTGCGCGCTCTAGAGCATTAGGCCGTACAATAGGGAACTAAGAGCATTAAGCCGTCCCAAACAGGATTTCCCCGTCAGCAAAGAGATTTCAAAATCTAAAGCGCCATTAGAGGTCAATACGCTCACTTCAAATTGCAGCAAACATGATGTGAACAATAGGGTAATATTCAAACGCAGCTCAGTGTACGCTTGCCTGTTGTTCATGGAAAACTTGTCGTGAAACTAACACTAAAACTGGGTGCTGAATGGTCAAAATCAGATGCCAGTACCTGCTAGATTTCTAGTTTGAGTTATTCTTAAAAAATCATTCCTCTTTAGTTTACTGTTGAAACTCAGAAGTGTAATTTTGTACCTTTTACAGCTAAGGCGGGAAACTGCACTGACAAATTTCGATTTCACTGTACCAACGATGTTTGTATCGACTCGTACGAGCGCTGCAACTACGTGGACGATTGCGGGGACAACAGCGATGAAGAGAATTGTGGTGAGTTCAAAGCTTTAATTTTACACAATGTTTTAAGTATACGTTGCATCGATAACATGAAATAAAGTGAACACATGAAGAGAGATATATTGCAGCCATAAGACACAAATCTAAGCTTATCCGTGCTTCCTCATTAACTTTCAATGCTGGGCCCATTCTGTTCAGTATTTAGAGGCAAAGGGTAACAAGAAAGTTTATAATAAATGTTTTAGACAAGTGCAGATTTACTGTACTCTATTAACAAAGTTAAGTGTAGCGAGACACAGACAGCATCACGGTGGCACGCACAACTGTTGATTTGCTCATACGTCGAGGCAAACTTCATGTTAAGAAGTGACTTCTAAATGCGATGCATTTCTCGGCGTGCTGAAAACACTCTTGGCATCCATCTACGTATCTATCTATCTATCTATCTATCTATCTATCTATCTATCTATCTATCTATCTATCTATCTATCTATCTATCTATCTATCTATCTATCTATCTATCTATCTATCTATCTATCTATCTATCTATCTATCTATCTATCTATCTATCTATCAATCAATCTATCTATCTATCTATCTATCTATCTATCTATCTATCTATCTATCTATCTATCTATCTATCTATCTATCTATCTATCCACTTACGCGCTTACGTCTGGCTGCTCCTATGATCACCCGCTTAACTTCGCGTGAACCAAAAACATACGGGACGGTAAGATGGTTTGACCAATATGATGCGCTGGTCAAGACATGTGTAATGTCATAATCCCGTCTTTTACGTCGTGAAAAACGTCTCGCAAAACAGTAGAAGATACCCGCGGGCAATGATGATGATCAAAACTTTATTTCTCCCAAAAGAAGGGACCGGCCCAGATGTTGGTTACGCTGCTTAGAGGAGGTTAGCGGTAATCCCCTGAGACACCGCGCCCTCCAATGTGCCTGATATTAGCCGGCGTTGCTGAGTCAATTCGGTGGTACGCAGAAAGAACTACGACGTATCTTTTGTGTGTGAATATCCAAACATGTGCCACTGGTATGCTCGTATGTGCTACAGGTGATTGACACTGATCCTGCAGGAACAGTGAGAACACAGGTGGGTAATTTTAACGCGTTAGCTTTAAGAAAAAGCTGGCATCAGCAGCGTTGACCCGATGAATGCAAAGAATAAATGTCTAAGTCCCAGCGGGAATCCCAGCATTGTCCGTGGTAATCAAGTGTTCTACCATGGAGCCGTGCCAGGTCTAGGAACTACTTTTAGAATATGCCTTAATATTCGTGAAACTTTGAGGGTCCTTGCAGTCTTAGCTAACAACTTTTATAGACATTACATATTTAGTCATATGGCACAGCCGCCATGTCATGTTAACAAAATTGTAGATATGCGCCATCCGCTAAGTTTATATCGCAGTGTCCAGGGCTACACTACTCACGAGCAGCAGCGCTTCATATCAGCTTATTGCTTTTGGTGTTGCTCATACTCATGTTTTTGTTGGCATCGTTTCGCAAGTGCAAACAACTGGGTATATGAAAATCTAGAGCTGTACAACGTATGTCTGTGCGTGCAACATTGAAACACATCTTTAGGGTCATTTCGTGACGGGTCGGTCAGTCAAAATGTTACGACATGGTTATCTTTCCTCCACGTGCTTTGAAAAACGTCGATTCTCTAGGTAAATGGGGTGTGCTGAGTTTTTATACATTTATTAACATTTCCTCTGTATAGCCATAGAGAGTTAAAGTTAGTTTGTAAAGTGTTGCCGTGAAGTGACCGAGCAATGAAGTGAGTGCTAGAATGCATTGTAAGACATTGTCCCATAGCCGCAAATAGGGCGATTCCTGGGGTCACCAAGACGTCGTGCATCTAAGTTAATTGGTCAAGCTTCAACATCATCAGGCTGACTACGTACACTGCAGGGCAAATGCTTCTCCTATGATCTGCCGATCAACTCGGTATTTTGCATTCTGCTACCACGTTATACGTGCTAACGTTTTAATATGGCACGATAATTGCGTCCCTGTTGATTACATGGTTTAAATGTCTGGTCAGCTTTATTGCCTTAAATTTACTCTTGGGCTTCAACGAATGCCACAAGAAAGTGTACAATCGCTATACTCGCGGACAACTTATCTAGGCGATGAAGGAAAAGCTATGGGGACGAAGCTACTGCACATGTACTCGTCCGCCAAGTAGTACGGCACATCATGTGTTCCGTACCACAGTGGAAAAAAATGGCTGCGCGCCATCAGCGTTTCACATCGACGCAGATGTCTCTTGGCGTTAAATCTATTAGATGAGAAAAGGCGCACTTTTCTTATGAGTTGAGAAACGGGAATTCACAACGAATAAATAAAAAAATACGAACATTTTGCTCATCTGAGCTACGTCATGTGCCAAAGAGCTATAGAAAAAAAATAAGGGCAATATTTTTTGCATTTCACGTAGAAAATCAAGACATAGTTGTAAGACTTCATTCATTAACAGTAGGATACGTGTGATGTGGCTTCGTAGCTTTCGCTGCATTGCCAAAAAAACTTGTTCGCGATTATCGACTGCATAAGCACTTCTATTTAAGTGGTTGTTACTGGTCTGAAACACCGACTGATTGTAAATACAAAGCACCCTACGTTGGCATATAATCATCTTTTAAATATCCACACGATTCTAGTATCCGCGTGTGTACATTTTGCCGAAACACATGAATGAGATTTTGTTGTATTGTCATTTATTGCAAGAAACCTCATTACAAGGTAAAAGTTTTATTGATGTGAAGTTTTCATAAGCAAATGCTAGGTGAAGGTGTCATATTGTTTTCCTTGTCACAATGTATCTGTAAGTGTTACGATACTTCATATTAATGCGCACCTGGTGGTAGAGTGCGAATAATCTTCATACTATCGCTTTTAGGTGACTATCGAATGGGATGTAACTTCGACTCATCATTCTGTGACTGGTTGCCCCAAGCGCCATCAGAAGGGAAAGGATTCGGGTGGGAATTGAGCTCGCCTTCATCAATGTTATCAAGAGGACCCACTAGAGATCATACGACAGGGACACAGAAGGGTAAGGCATGTACTATGGGAAAGAAGGGAAGGGGGATGCGTGCTGTAGTAATTATACAGGTGAAAGCAAACTCAGCCCCGAGATGTGTACAGATAGTATCAAGCAGATTCGTCATTGTAAAATCGCGTTTAAGTGCGTTAAGCCACTGTTTGTGGTAAACTAAAAAGTTCTGAGCTGAAATCTTCCAATTTTACGTATGAGATTATCACGCAATAATATAACTGATTGTTCATTTGAAAGTGCGAGTAAATAAGACGTCTCAAACTCACTCTTTATATGTATATCTGCTAGTGTAGACAAAAACTCACTGACTCCAAGTGCTGTAGTCAATGTATGTCTATTACTAAACCATGTTGTATGCTTAACATGAACTAAACTTGCTTAAAAAGAAAAGATACTAAGGGTGTTTGGTTAGAGGTGAGCTAGACTGTAAAAGGGGTGCAGGTGAGGGATAACCTATATACACATCTTCATTTGTGATTCTTCGATTTCTAAGAATTCACCCTGACTTTTATTAAATAAGAAAGCCATGTGTCTTGACCGCATGCCGCGAAAGATGATGTACTGGGGTCCCTAATTTAGTTTCAAATATTACCTAATAGAACGCTTCATACAATTAGCATGTATGATCTTTGCGCATAAATTGATACTCTCCGCTTTTATTGCATTGTAGTTTTTGGTTCCCTGTTTTCAAGTTTCAACCGTTTGGCAGACTAATTTAATTTGATTGCAATGTCACATAGACACGTAAGCTCTAACAGGATTTTTTTCAGTGAGAATTTCAACACAAAACCAATACAAGAACTCGTTTCGCTGATATTCTGGCATCGGGGTTAGCTTCGTCGGTTGTGAGCGAAAAATCATCATCTTTTGTGTGACCGAAATTTTGAGAAAGTTGCAAATTGAAGCAATATTGAAAATTTCAATGTCTGACTGAGAATTGAACTCAGGTCATTTGCATGAAAAGCAGGTGTTCTACTACAGAGCCATGTATCTGCTTTGGTATTTACAAGCTTTATTTCGAGTATTTATTTTTTTCTTCAATTTACCCAGTTTATATGTTTCTGCGCAGGAAAATTTATTATCCTGCATTCAACGTTGTCCGAGAAGACTGCCACAATCATCGGCCCTGCTCTCCGCAACGTGGACCACTGTAGCGTAAGTGCTCAAAATGTTCCTGCTGGCCAAGATATTATATGTTAATTTGACACATGCACTTCCTAATAAACATCGTTAACGCCATCGGTACTATATCTTAGCACAAATAGGTTAACAAAAGGGAAAAGAAGCGCAGCCCTTACAATGAGATTTTGTCGTACCATTCTCTAAAAGACTGCTTTGAAATATTCAAATGAAGAATGTACAGGGCAATAGCTTTTCGGAACTGCTGTTTGTACTGAACGAAAATGTTGAGATAAACACTAATGGTTCAAGGGAGCCTTTTTATACAGATACAGTCAGCAATTAGCGTAAGTAGCGCGCTTTTGGCAGCTTTGTTGAGGTTGTAAAAACTGTTTATTTCATTATCACCACCCGTTAAGCACCCGTTAGAGGGTTTCCCGTCGTCTTTGCCGGCGTACCCGAACCAGCGATTGGTACGATCTTCGTCGCCTGCTGGTAAAGGAGCTGGGAGCGAGCAGTCGCCCATGCACACCCACTACAAAGTCTAGAGGGGTGCACTCAGAAGCAGGAGCTAAGCGCTGTTGCTGAGAAGGCCCTTCTGTCTTTATATCGCGGGCTTGTAATGCATGAAAAACACTCTAGAATCTCCTAATAGCACCATCATCCATGGAGACTTTTATTATTCTGTTTGTATAATGACGAACAGATGTTTCGGTTACATTATGCAAATATTTGTCGTAAAAAATGCATTTCTTTCACAAATTATCTGCAAAATGGTTACCGCATAATTACAATATTAGCAGCACTAGCAGTTGTAGTCGTTTAGAAACGCTTACTTCAACAGACCATAAGGTAGCACTGAAAGTAGCATAGCTAAATCTCCTTACTTTGTACGTTGGCAACTGTCAAAGTTTCGCTGTCTTTGATTTCTTATACATTCTTCTTCCACGTACTCTCTTACTCTGAGCCTACTTTGGTTTCACTGATACGTGCAGCGGCATGCACAAGAAACTTACAACAACATGACAAAAGTTACCCAACCTGTGCATTTTCACACACACAAAAAAAATCTGCGTATCCTGGTTCCCGCTTCCTCAACAGTGGTATTATTTATGAAAGCCTCGAATTTTTAGCATGCTTCATCGTACTATACTGCAGCACTACTGCTTGAGCTCGCGTAAGTTCTCGAATGACCTCAACTGTGGTGGGTGTCACGTATACAGTCTTAGTATGACACACGGTAACATTCGAGAAGGCTATTTTACATTCAGGAGCAGCCTGCATCGAGCGACGACACGGGTAGGTTTTTTTAGTCCAAAATCTGATCGCGGTGGAAACCAAAGGGTCATGTCGATTTCCTACGCTCAATACTGGGGATGGCACTGCCATTCATCATCATCACCTACATTATCATAATCATCATCACAAGTTTGCGCAGCCAACTGCAGGGCCAATTAGGCTACCAGGCTGCCTGACTGCTGTCTATAATTACACCTGCAGACTTTTCTATCCTATCTGCTTGTTTTATTTTCCGCCTCATCCTCACGCATTCACCTTTTCTGGAAGTCCTGTCAGTTGAACCTAATGAGCAGTAGTTATTCTGCCTATGCCATTACAGTCATTACCAGTAGTGTACCGCCGTTAGCATTGCACTGCCATTAGCGTGCTTCATATTCTTTACTTTATAGGCCCTGAACAATCTTATGGCAAGAGAATGCTTCCATGAAATTACATATGTATGACAGTAATTTATGTTTCCAAGGCTTAGGTAAACCATATTTATTTTATATCTTTGTCTCTTCTAGATCTCGTTCTTTTACACAGTGCAAGGCGAGAGTGAACCACAGCTCTCTTTAAACGTGCGAACTAGTAAGAACGGGCTATGGAAACGTGTCTGGTCTCAACCACGGCCGACAACTTTCTGGAATTTTATGCCCGAAACTGTAGCCTTTACGGAAAAAGAACCATTTCAGGTAAGGCCCCCCTTGTTTCATACGACCAATAGCTGCCCGAGCATCACGAAGATCGAGTAAGCTTTGATTAAGCTTATTTACAATGCTGATGTTCGGTAGCAAAACTGTGCTGTACTACGTATATAGGGGATCCTTGTATGCTATTTGTCTCATAGTCCTCCTTCGAATTCATATAAATCTGTTTGGTTTCAGTTCTCGATATACAGTTGTAAAGGTACCCGTTCGACTTTGCAGTAGCAGGACCAAGCAGTCATCAGGACAATTTTCTTGTTCTCGCCAGCTCCAATGAGAATTGTACCCTCAGAGATTTCATCACCAATATTTTCAAAATATTACAGGTGAAAATTTCTTTTACGCTACATGAAAGAGTCTACCAAGAGACCCATTTTTGTTAGGGACAAATAAATATTGCGAAGCTGTAAATAATGAACCCTAGGAATGCCTAGGAAAATATAGTTATAGTTTTATTCACTGCGATAGTTCTGCATGGTACGAAATATATGCTGAAATAATTACTACTAGGGACCCTTAAATGCAAAAACGAACGACTTCTGTTACGCGTGTCATGCGCTTACTCGTATGCGATCATGTAGATACGTTTATCTCCTACCATTATTGGTGGATAAGGGCTGTGAGCATCCATTTTGTAATGCGGCTGTAGCCCACGCTGCATCAAACTGAAATGTTTCTTAATAATAATAATAATAATAATAATAATAATGATAATAATAATAATAATGATAATGATACTATAACGATTATTATTATTATTATTATTATTATTATTATTATTATTATTATTATTATTATTATTATTATTATTATTATTATTATTATTATTATTATTATTATTATTATTATTATTATTATTATTATTATTATTATTATTTGTAGTAGCAGTAGTTGTATTTACACCGCCCTAACGTGTCGTCAACCAACCTGAGATACATTCATCTTTGTATCGAAAAAGCTGGGGTTCACAGCCAAATTTTGTGCACCTTGCAGCAGAGGTATTATAGTTTTTACGCTGTTTTCATAAGTCTTTACTCGCTGCTTTACCACCACCAGTTCGTACCACGCTCAACTTAATTCCCGATGTTGGTGGCCTTCAATTACACTCGCTCCCGAACTACGAGGTGGACGCTTCTTAGAAAATTGGCTTCGTAGAAATGGACGCTTCGTAGAATACAAGGTGGACGCTTCGTAAAAAAAGAAAGCATTGACACATAAAAATATGACTGAGAATTATTCGTTGTAAATACGCATTCGTTTCATCCTTCATGACTGTGTTTTGTTATTGTGCCTTCCTTTTTATTATCTTTTTTTTGTCATTCCTTTATATCCACCTTAATCAAATATATAGCGCAAAATCACGCCGTGTATAATCATCTATGTCAATGTTTTAGCTTCAAAGCGAAATACCTTGCTGTACTTCGTATGAGACATGGCCACGTGACTGATTTATACGAGCTTGTAGCAGTGCTTGCGGAGAATTGTCGAAGTTACTCGTCATGATGTATACGTTGTTATGCCAGCGAGTCCTCGTCAAACGTCCGTGCCTCTGAAAAAGGCAATCTGGGTCAAGGCCAGCCCGCAGTCCGCCTGACGCGAACAACTCAACGGCGTGAACACGCGCGGCGCCTCTCTGGCCCACGTGCATTGAGTCAGCAGCGCACGTGACAGCGAGCCGGCGTCCTCGTGTCTGGGGGTCTGACGTGGCCCAGCGGCGACCCCATTGGAAGAATCTGCCCTGACGACCAGTGGCGCTTCTGATTGGACATTTTGCTTGGACCCGGTGCAAATAAAAGAAGCCCTGCGGTGCGTCGCGATCGGCGGTCCTATGAGAGAGGAGCCCCCATGTCGGAGAGCCGACATGTGTGTGAATCGGCGGTCCTAGGTAAAAGCTGACATGTGTGTCAGAGCAGACCCGTTTGAGAGCAGACCTATGTGTTAGAGAGGGAAGCTCGGCTCTCCGAGTCTCTGTCGGCCCCAGTGCCGAATTTGTAACGCCTCTGTATATATGCTGTACATAAACCTTGTTTAACTCACCGTCGTCTCGTCCGCTCGTCTTATCAACTCTGCGCAGAAGCAGTCGCGAGCTGAGAAACATACGCTACCAAACGGCTGGTGACCTTCCCGGCGGAGTTGGAAGCAGTGGCGCCTTCGGGACCGTGTTGGCGTCGCCGTCTTTCGCAACAGTGGTGGCAGCGGTGGGATCGGCCGGCGTCAGCGACATCGATGCGATGAGTGCCTGATGTTTTCCCCTCAGTTCACCAGACTACTCTAGCTCAGGTTGTAGTAGTTTAGAGAAGGGCTGTGTGAAGCATTAGAGTGAGCTTTGATCGTTTCAAGCAAAGTCGAAGTGCTTTGAAACCAAAGGTAATGCGGAGGGGGTAAACACGGGAGAGTGAAAAATTGCTTGCGCGTCTTGCTAGTTGACTTATAGTGGGTACGGCAAGTAAATTGTTAACAGGGGCAAACAGCAAGAGGCTAGTGTGAACGATGGAGAACCTTAAAGTGAAGGAACTCATCGAAATTTGTGAGGAACTCGGCATTACTTTGGGCCGTGCGAAACGAAAGCAAGCGATCCTTGAGATCATGAAGGATGAGGGAGTGTCAGCTGAGGAAGTCGATGAGGCCTGGGTGGATATTAAAGCACGCCGTGAGGAGGCTGAAAGGCGAGAAGGCGAAGCTCGCGAACGTGAATAACCTGAAAGGCGCGAACGTCGCGAGGAGGCCGAGAGACAGGAGCGTCTCGAGTTGAAACGACTAGAATTGGCAATCCTACAGTGTTCGTAGGCGCCTAGCGTAGCTTCTCCAACAGTTCAGGTCAGCGGTTTTAGAATTCGGGACCAACTGCCACCGTTCGTAGTAGGCGAGGACATGGCGAAGTATCTCGTCAAGTTTGAACACGTCTGTGAGCGAAACGCTTTGGAGCGGCCTCTTTGGGCGCGGAACCTGCTAGCTCTTCTTCCCGGCGAAGTGTCCGACGCGATAACTTGCTTGTCGAGGGAAGCGTTTGAGAGCTATGACGAAGTTAAGGAAGTGCTCTTGAGACGTTATAACTTGTCACCCGAGGCTTTCAGGCAAAGGTTCCGGTATGCTAGAAAGGGGAATGAGTCACACGTTGACTTCGCGTTTCGTCTTAAAGCCGATTTGATTGAATGGCTCAAGGGCGAAGGTGTTTATGACGACCGCGATAAAGTGGTGGAATGCGTTGCATTGGAGCAATTCTACCGCTGCATCGAGGAGGATGTCAAACTTTGGCTGCAGGACAGACTTGGGGACGTACAGTTAAACAAGGCAGCTGAGTTAGCTGAGGAGTATTATACTCGCCGAAAGTTGCATAGCAGGGCAGCGCGCGTTGAAAAGGATGAAAGGAAAGAGGGCTTTTCAAAGAAACCTGATCAACGGAGACCCGATCCGCACCGTCATTTCAAGAAGGACCCGTCTCTTACGAAGGACAGTGTAGGGGAAGGGCAAACAGAAGCGGAGAAATCGAGTGAGGTTTCTACCACACAGGCATTTGAATTGGAAAACAAACGGAAGCCGCTAATCTGCTACGACTGCAAAAAGGAAGGGCACATCGCGAGAAACTGTCAGGAAAAGTTTGCTTTCGCAACGATCCGAGAATCAGAAAAAAACATTCGGTTGTTGGAGCCGTATCTCCAAGAAATTAGGGTGAATGAGAAAACGTGCCGAGCACTTAGAGACTCAGCGGCAACCATGGACGTTGTCCATCCTTCATTGGTGTCTCCGGATGACTTCACAGGAGAATGCGCGTAGATCAGGCAGGTCGCCGAGGAGCAGAGTGTTCGCTTACCAATCGCCACGGTTGTCATTAAAGGCCCGTTCGGTGAGCTTCGCACCGAAGCGGCTGTGTCTGCCGCGCTAAATGATCGTTTTCCTTATCTTTTCTCCAACAACTCGGAGCAGCTTCTCAAAGAGCAGGGCAAATCGTTCTTCCCCAACTTAGCGTGCATGGCTCTCACGCGATCGCAAGCGCGGAAGCTATCGCGGCAGCTTGATCTAGTTCCATGCGGTGAACTCTCAAGTGATCTTGTCGGCGGGTCGACGGAACCTTAGAAAGGAAAGTTTCCGCATGAGTCATGTGAGCAGTCACGCGAGCGGCCCGTCGCCGAACCGACCGGCGCGGTTTTCGTAGAAAGGGGAGACGACATGGCGCCATTGAGTCAGAGCGAGAGGGTTGCTACGCTCTCGCCTGTAGCGGAAAGTTGGAGCGAGCTGCCGAGAGTTGATCGAGAGACGCTCATTCGAGAGCAGCGTGAGGATCTCTCGATTGAAGCGCTAGTGGAAAGCCACAAAAACGCGGCACAAGTGCTGTCGAAGGAGCACTACGAGAAATCGGTGAAGAAGCGCGCTTTTGAAGTTGATAATCAGGTAATGCTGCTGCAGCCGTCCAAAAGGAACAAGCTTGAGGGTGATTGGGAAGGGCCCGCCACAGTATTATCGAAGCATTGCGATTCAAATTATGAAGTGAAATTAGGAAGGCGGCCGGACAAAATTTACAACTTGAAAGCAGTCGTCAATCAGCAGTTGAAGGCTTCAGAGGAAGAGGGAGCAGAAATTTGGAGTTCTAGGGATATATTCGAAGGGGGATCGAAAGTAATCTGGGAGGAGTTGAACCTAAAGCCTAGGTTAAGTGAAGTCCAGGAGGAGGACCTGAACAGGATTGTTTCCGAGTTTGGATACGTGTTCTCGGACCGTCCCGGAGACACGACGGTGATCGAACACGAAATAGAGCTAACTTGTGAGGAACCAATCCCTAGCAAGCCGTATCGTTGTTCTCCTGTGGAATGTCGCAAGTGTGAGCCGCTCTTGGTGCCGCATAGGTATCGTCGCCTAAAAGTGGCCGGTTACTGAGGTGGAGCACGTTGCTCCACAGCGCAATTTTGACGTTCGCTAAAAAAAAAGGAAAGCTAAACGCTAATGGAGGTGCATTGAGCAGTGCGTTCTAGCTAGTACCTTCTCAA